AGGCATGTGATTTAAATCTACATTTGTGTTGGTAGTATAATTCCTTTCCATTAAGCCAACTGAGCCTCACAATCACTCCCTTAAGAAATAGAATTATTGAATCAAAACATATGAATATTTTTCAGGATTTTTGAGGTACAGTGTCCAGTTGCTTCCCATAATGGTTATAACCACTTTTCTTTTTGACCTTTGCTAGAGGTGGTGATGAGGTTGCTATTCAGCCAAGACAGACCATTGATTTTTTTTTTTTAATTTCCTTTCCTTGAGTTGTTCCTGTTTCCATAGCTGACCCCTCCAGTGGGTTTTCAGAGACAGTTGATTTCAGGGGAAGAGATAGCCCATCTTTCTCCCACGAGTAGTTGGTGCATGTACCTTCAGATTGCCAGTGCAACTCCTTACCACTAAGCCACCAGACCTCCCTTAAGTAATTTTTTTTTTCTGCAGCAAAACTTTCAGAGGCTGTACGGGCCACTGGCCCCCCATACGCTAGGCCAGCCAGGCCTCCTCTAAGGCATTCAATAATATTAGTAATTAAATAGCAGTGCTCGCCCCCCCACCCGGAATGTACAACAGTGGTCCCATTGTGCCACGTGGTCCCAAGAGGTCTGGTCCCATGAGGTCTGACACCCTGATGCAGAGGGGTTAAGGCCACAAAGGAAAAGGAAAGGAACTGGGCTGGGGTCAGCTGGACTGGTCCATCACATCCATGAATCAGGCTCAGCCCTTGGGCTGATGGAGCGCAGGGCACGCAGGGCCCCAGGTTCTGCGGGTTCAGACAGGCGGCGGGGCCCCGTGGTGTGGGGATGCGAGAGGACTTCCTGTCTGGCTGTGTGTCCATCCGGCCCCGGACCCAGGTCCTCAAGGGCTCTGGGCCAGCCACGGAGGTCCTGGGTACATCAGGTGGCCCCCCAATACCAGGGCAGGGGCTGCCTTCGTCGGAAGAGCTGCATAGGGCTGGGCCTCGGGTTCTGGGCAGCCCATTGGCTATCCGGGCAGGGTCCCCTAGGGGGCCACACTTGCCACCCAGGACGCAGCAGCAGCCTCATCAAGGGCCCGGGCGTTGTCCAGGAACTCTTCTTCCAGGCGCTGGAACAGCTGCTGCTCTTGCTGTGGGTCCAGCTGGAGAGGTGTGCGGAAGACGCTGGCCGGTGTGCTGCCCGACTCCGGAACTGGGCTGGAAACTCGAGAAGACCGAAGGACCGCCGGGCTTCGGGCTCGGGGCGTCCGGGGGCTGCTCCTGCCCGAGTCCCTGCTGCTCCGTGGCACCCACCAGTGCTGCCCATCTCGGTTCCTGCGTACTAGCAGCACAGCCTGCTCCTCCCGGCTCTGGCTCTGCGCCCGGCGGGCAGGGCTGGGGGTCACTGGCTGGGTCCCTCTGCCCCCTGCCCCCTGGGGCTCCCCGGGGCCGACCCCGATCCGGCTGCTCTCGGGACTGGCTGCATGGGGCCGGGGGCCGCCTCGGGGAGGCTGGGGGGCCCGTTGTCATCCGCCAACTGGGTCGATCCCTGCAGGGCCCAGTGCCTGTGTCGTCACTGCAAGTACTGAGGGGGCCACTCTGGGCTGAGGAAGCCAAGGAGTCACTGTCCCCCGAATAGCGGCGGGAGCGGGGTTGGGGGGGCAGCTGATCTGGGACCTGAGCAGGGTCTCTTGCCCCTCCTTGGGGCTGCGTAGGATAACAGGGGTTATGGATTTGGAGCTGCGGCGCTCACCCCCAGGGACCGGGCTACCAGCTCGGAGGCTGGGGGCGGGCGGCACCTTCTGGGGAGAGAAGGTTCCGACCCTGGACTGGAGAGGGCGGTGGACAGTGGAAGAGCAGCGACACGGGTCATCCTTGTCCAGGTAATGCTCCAGAGTGTCCCAGCCGCCACCCACGCGCACCATCACGTGACTCCTCAGCACCCGCACGAAGATGAGCAGGCTGGAATCTCCCACGCAATACTTCCCCTCTGAGACCTTGATCATGGGAACCTGGTCTGGGCAGGTTCATTGTCCCAAGATCTCCCTCACCAGTTCGTCCAGGTTGCGAAGGTCACTGGGCGTCATGGTCATGCAGGGTCCTCGGTGTGGGGCCCCTGTTGCAGTAGCAGCCTCAGTGGGGTCCTCCCCAGCTGTGGAGGCATTGGGGGCTGGGGGTGTGGCACGCAGCTCCCGCTCAATCTCCTGCTCGAACTGCACGAGGCGCGGGGCAAGCAGGCCAAGGCGGGCCCCGCGCCGGGCCACCTCCAGCAGGCACAGCACCACGCTCTTCTCGTTCTTCCGCAGCACCAAGTCCTCGGTCTCAAACATGAGCACTTCGGGCACTCCCAGCTCCACGCGGCACCAGCCGATGAAGGTGGCCACGTTGTCGCGGGCCATGAAGGAGCCGGGGG